AGTCAGTGTGTCTGTATTAACCCCCCTCTCTCTCAGTGCAGTGTTAATGTACTGGAGTGTCCAGCCTGTCAGTGTGTCTGTTTATTATTTTCATGCCAGCACTTTCTGGGCAGGTACTGATGAAAGTGACAATAATCAGTGCTGGTTCTCTGACATAAAGTGGGGTGTTTCTGTCCTTGTTCCTTAGTGTTCAAATTAATTAAAGGGTGTAGATTGAAAAATCTTTCTCACATATTTTTGCTGCTGCGTTAAAGAGAACTTGGAAAGACGAGAACATGATAACACAGCTTTACGTCACCCACAGCTGAAAACCTTTGAACCATAGTGTTATATTTTTCCTTATAGATTAGTAATTACCACAGTTAGGTCATTATGAGCAGAGGTAGAAAGAAATCCTACAGATGCTATGGCCCTCTGTTCCTAACCAGAATTTTCAATTTAGTGAGTTATACTTTTAGATAAGATAAGATCACTTTATTAGCCATATACAATTTATTGCATTAAGAATTCATCTTTTCTCATACTCCAGCTTGCTCTCTATGAGACACAGACAGGGAGAGAAGCTTGAGGTCAGAGCACAGGGTCAGCCATTGTACAGCGCCCCTGGAGCAGTTGGGGTTAAGGGCCTTGCTCGGGGGCCCAACAGAGTAGGATTCCTCTGCTTGCCGCTGGATTTGAACTGGCAACCTTCCAGCCACAGGCACAGATCCTTAGCCACAGTGCCACCGCTCTGCCCAATTTTAGTTTTAGTTATAACTGTTTTGTACAAAGGACGATAAGTATAACATTATGTCTTGTCATCCATTAATAATAATAATAATAATAATAATTGCTTACACTTGTATAGCGCTTTTGTGGACACTCCACTCAAAGCGCTTTACAGGTAATGGGGACTCCCCTCCACCACCACCAATGTGCAGCCCCACCTGGATGATGCGACTGCAGCCATAGTGTGCCAGAACGCTCCCCACACACCAGCTCTCAGTGGGGAGGAGAACAGAGTGATGAAGCCAATTCACAGAGGGGGATTGTTAGG